AAAGTAAACACTACATAGGTTTGCCACTAGCCGACTAAGACTAGATGCAAAAGTAAACAGTGTAAAGTAAATGATACCGAATATTTTTATACTAGTTCGGATTCAATGTGAATCCTAGTCCAGTCTCCTTGGGTTGCAAGAGGGTTCTATCTTCAAGTTCCTTGAATTTTTTTTTGTACAAGTTAATTGATGTTGTCATGCATGCACCAACTCTTCTTAGAATACAATTGACTTTCTACATTTTGATACAATGCCTCACCAGTGATTTTTCTCTCTTTCTTCTCTCTGCTAATTACGTAGTAAATCTAGAATAGACTATAATGCTTGTTTGGATATATATATATNGAGAGATAGGCAACCCAAAAGAATTGAACTTTGGAGTGAATCTTAATTGATTCTTTCCAAGAATAAGGTTGGAACTTTCCTATAGTTGATCCTTGAGGCTCAATATGATTGATATGCTTCCCCTGAATAGTGTAGCTGATTGGCTTTGCAAGTTTCCCACGCGTGTTTGATGTAATTGTCCTTGACGTTTGTGATTGAAGATCAAGAGTAGATTATAATATTCCTCGATGCCCGTGAATAAAAATTAAGAGTAGATTTTCCACTTGATTTGATTCTGCTATCTTAGCCTTCCTTCTTTGGATAGCTTTCTGGATCCTAAGTTGGCTCATATTTTCTTTCTTAATCGTTCTGCTTCACAACGTCCACTTTTTAGAGATCCTTGATAGCATGCAATAAGAGTAGGTTATTTTTCATTATTAAAACCAAGATGTAATAATCTCTCCCTTTTTTATGATGACAAAAGTAACATAATCAATTCTACTTTCCTGTTTATTGGATTATTCTTGCAGTCGACTCCCCCGCAACTTGTTTACGGGTCTTCTTGCATGTAGTTGATTCCTTTATGAGTCAATTTCCCCTCAAGTTGTTATCTCCTCATGTATAGGTACTTTTCTTCCTTTTGTTTGTAATTGACTCTTCGTCTGTGCTGTAGTCAACTTGAGCTTTAATATCCCTGCATATGTTAGTAATAATCCTTTCTCCCCCTTTGGCATCAATCAAAAAATGGGGAAACATGTAATACCATTAGCAGTTTAGATTATCCTAATAATTACAGTCATCCAAAACTCCCAAAATAAATATCCAAATATCCAAAATACCCAAAAAAAATTAAGATTGTCTGAAAACATCAAAACAACCAGATCAGCGATGGAGAAAATAGGTAAGAGTGTTGCAAACAACTTCCTTGATACGGTCAAAACTTGTGTTCATAGTGACTGGTGTCACACCCCTTTTTTACCCCTCCAAAAGATAATGTGTGTTATGGATTGTGGGTTAAAGAGCTTTTCCAATTAAAGTGACAAATTTGAAATAGTGATTATTTTATTTACAGAGTCGCCACTTGGAATTGATTTTTGCCGGTGTTCCAAGTCACCTTTTATTTGAATCCCTATTCAAAGGAAGGTTTGACTTTATTATTATTGGTCTACGAAAATAAAATCCGGATAAGGAATTCTGTTGACCGGGGAGAAGGTGTAAGGCATTCCCCGAGTCCCATGGTTCTAGCACGGTCGCTTTATTGACTATATTTGGCTTATATTTTTTTTATAACGTGTGTTTTATTGGTTCTCATCTTTTACCTATGTTCGCTTTTATTGCTTGATTAAATTTATGAAAAGGTTATCTTGAAATAAATCACGCGTATGAATACTTATTTTGTTACATATCACAATTATGCCATGGAGACCATACATATAGCCATGATGTTTAATTATTTAAAGCGCACCTAAATAAACTAGCACACTTGAATTATTTTCCTAAAACTAATTTAAGATTATTGTAAGGCCAAGAGTTATGGAATTGTTTGTGGAAGAAGTGTATGATTTTAGATATTTGAATAAATAAGCTATCATATATCAATACCCTTCATCCCAACAATTGAAGCCTAAACTTATTGATGTCCAAATCTTCCAAACTTTAAAGCAAATTTGAAAACTATATTTTCAGAAACATGATTAAGCATATAGCATTTAAGGATTGATTTACATTATTATTTATAAAGTTTAAAGATAAATAAATAAAATCACATAAAATAAGATAAAAAGAACAGAGGGAAGAATAAACCATTTAATGCAAGATTTTCAGTTAGATGAGTCTCCAAGAGTAGGTACAACAACTCAGACGAACATCGAACAAGCATAAGCGAAGAAAAACATCAAAGCTAGTGAACAGAGCTCCAACGGAATCCTCGACCTCATCTATTGACACAACTCTTTGGCATGTAAAAGGGATGTTTTGAAGTATTTTTACTGGATTTTGGGTGGTAAATTGCTGATTCTTTTTCGAAAGAATGACGCGAGTAAAAATTTCCCGTAGCGTAGAAGAAGAAATATTTTGTTTCTCTCAATTCTCTCCTCTCTTTTCTCTTCTTTTTCTCCCCCTTCTTCTCAGATTTTCTTTTCTATTTATAGCAAAAAAATTCAAAATTTTTCAGATTTTTTTTATTTTATTTTTTTAATTTTTTAATTAAAAGAAATCTCACTTTCATTTTGCTTTTCTTTTTTTATAAAATAAATCCTCACCTTTTCTTACTTTTATTTTTTAAAATTTCAACTTTAATTACTTTTATTTTTTAAATTTCAACTTTAATTACTTTACTTTTTTTATTT